ATTATAAACTCAGAAGATAACCCAAGCAGATTTATAATGGCGAGGAGCTATTTAGAGGCTCAAGCTTGAACAAGAGGCCAGGAAAATATAAAGATCATATGTCATTTACTTCTTAGGAAAAGTGGTTTCTTTATACAAAAAATGGTTTCTTTACTTATTACAAAGCAACCACTTATCTACCAGGTCAAATAAGCATGAAGTTAATAAGGAAAAAAGATAGAGAAAAAAAAATTATATTGTTACATTGAGAAAAATTTAATTTGTAAATTTATATTGTTTGTTGAAGAGTGTTTACCTGGCTGAAACTGCTGCAAGCTTATCAACATGCAGTATTCCTTGCGCTGAATTGCTTGTATTTGCAAAAGTTTTGTCACACTGATCACAATATTTTGTACATGTTTGCAAGCTAAAAGCTTTACAAGTCTAGAAGCTAAAAACTTTACAAATTTACAAGATAAAAAATGTTGTGGAAGTCTTTTGTGATGAAATTGGAGTTTCATGCTGGCAATCTGTATGGTGGCGGATGTCTCCACTGGGTCATGGGGTGTAGAGAAGCTGCTGTGTCTCAGTTTGATGGTATGGAAATGCTGTGCCTTTTCCTAAGGGAGACTCAGGAACAATCAATCTCCCTTGCATCTCCAGAGATCCAAGCCCTAGGAGTACTCTCAGATTGATATCTATGTGTGTTTAAGGGTCATTTTGCTGTTCCAGAGCCCTGCCTAGAAGATATAGAAATAGCTGTGTATTATTCCTTTATGGAAATAAGTAAATATGTCTGTGTTAAGTGGGGATTATCCAGTACCCCTCAAATAATCATTTCTCTCTGGGATCAATGATCATAATTTGTGGTGCCCTAGTGGCTTGCTGACATTAATGACAAGAAAGCCTTCGTCAATCAGACAAGGGTGATGAGTCACTGATACCACCCTCCTTATCCAAGAAAAAAATGCCAGCTAAATGCAATGGAGGTTTGGCACAGGTGACTGCTCTACTATTTCTGCTTGAAAATGATATATAGTTGCTTTGGCCTCCTCTTACAAGCTTGAAGTTTTAAACTGAAGCCATTTTTCCTGTGCTGGCAGACCAAATAAACAAAGGAACAGACTTCTAAAAACATTATCCCACGATTTTCTGGAGATAAGTCTCTAAATCACTCATTAAAAAATCAACAGCAAAATGGTCAGCATCTTGCACAACTCCAGTGTTGTTAAATAGAAACAAAACCTTGTCTGTGGCAATTTTCCTTTTCTAAATGGTAGCTTGTTAATTATGGGGATGCAAGATCTCCAGGAACATGAGCAGCCATACAATTTTTTTGCATGCAAATTGTGCACTGGGAAGCAACATTTTTTCATGTAGTTACAAGGATTTGATTGCTGATCTTGTGCAGCTTACTATGCTTATCTCCCCAAAATCATATAAACTTTTTTGCAATTCTTCTATTTCCAATTCTTCAGACTTATATTGTAGGAAATTCAGAGTTATGTTCTTCCAAGCACTCCAGTCTCTGACTGCTCACATATAATTTCTTTGGAGGCCCTTCATAACCTGTGCAAGAAAAATCTAATTTTCCACCTATCCAAGAGTCTTAATCCACGGTAAATATTTAATCCATTTTTGAACAGAGATCTCCTATACTGAAGTTGATACCAATGACACAGTCCATGCTGTACCAAATATCGTTTGCTAACTGCACCAAAATAGATCTTAAAGTATCGTTTCCCTCTGGGTTTCAGTAATACCTGTGAAATCATTAGTCTCATCCCGAATTAAATTATGAAAGCTGCAAACAGTACTATCTAACCATCTTTACCAAACAGAAATATCTCTGTCACAAAACAGTCCCATATTTGTGAGAGAGAACTACCAGCAGAAGTATTTCTGGTCACATTTTGTGTCTCACAGTCAATTATTTCGTTCCCGTCTAGTCTTCCACAGTGTCCTATCATAGGAATAGAGAAAAAAGCACATCCTGACTCTCATGTAGTCACGGAGCCACATAGTCTATTGCACAGAACTGGTGGCTGAGTCCTCTCCTTCCCAGGGAATCACTGATCGCTTTCTTCTCTCCCCGCAATCAGCCTTAGCATCCATTAGTTATTTTGCTTATTGTGCCCTCTGGTATTCAAATGTTTCCTTACAGTTTCTTTTTGCCCCTCATCTGCAAATTTCACTGTTGTTCTGGAACCTTTTCCTTTACTCTCATACCCAAACACATCCACGCCCATCTTCCCACTGCCTTATAGTTTATTTCTCTCAAAGCTTACTCATTGCAAAGCCCAAGAAATGGGGTGGAAATAGAGCTGAATGTCTGGAAACTATCAGTCTGGCTCAGCAGAGAGGGGGAGCTTTATCATGATATTTCTGGATCCCATAACAATACTATTTTTTCCTTCTATTATCAGTTCTATTCCATGAACAAGAAGCTTAATTCTGTGAATTACATGCAAGTTCTGTTTCCTCCCCCCGGAGGAAAATAGATCATCACTGTTGTTTTCATCACAAATTTTCCTCCCTGCTGTTTCCCAAGCCCACTGAGAGAATAGATCCCCCCACCATTTGCACAATCACTCTTCTTTCACAGGTCACCCTGTGCTTAGGAAAAGGAATTACACTAAACAGTCCAAGATGGAAATTTGCAAAGAAGCCAAGAGTGCTCACCATGAAGTGGTGGGACCTGTCTGTGCATGGGAGTCAGTTCTGGTCCTCTCCTGTGCCTCTTTGTTCTCCTCAGTGCAGCCTGCTACCTTTCTGCTTGCTCTTTACGAAATAGTAAGACGGCTAATTTTAGGGTGCTTCATCATCCTGCCATGCAAAGACACAGTGTCATGTCAGAATCAGCTACATGTGGCACCACTTGGAGCTGCTATTTTGTAAGCTAAGGTTCAGTGTGTCCTCAATTCGGTGTCTGCAGGGCTGAACTGGTTCAAATATTATCTTTGTATTTCTGGAGGAGTTTACCTTAAAAATCAAAGTTCAGTATTCCAGCCTGACCAAAAGCCCAGTTTAATGACATGGGAATTGGCGTGTCAGCATCCAACTTAAACAAACAAATATAAAAACAAACAAAAGACAACATGGAAATTTCCTGGAGTTCGTTCAGCTTCTAGCCTGCTGTACTATTGTTGTTATATACTAGAAAATTTAATGTAATAGTGTGAAATATCTCAGCAATAGGAGGAGAATGGGTCACATGCAGGAGGGACTGCACTCCTAACCCTCTCTGTGTGGGATGCTTGAAAATATTCAGCATCTTCAGCCCCAGCCTGCAGATGACCTGGCACTTCTGTGGCTTTTGCCACACTGCCAAGGAAACTGGGTAGTTGCTCTGAGTCCCAGCTGTTCTTTGTGTGGGCTTGGGGATATTGGATCTGCTTAGAAGTTTGTGAGCACAAGAACTGCATACCTCATGCAAAGGTCAGGTTCCCTTCGGTGTGGTCTTCCTGTCCAGCATCCATGGTTGTCCTTCACTGCTTTTCCATTTTCTGTACATCTGTCACCCTATGAGTAGCTTTATTTTAGCTATATTTTGTGGCCTGGAGGCATGAAGGGTAATGTAGCCTTTTGTTCTTGTCTACTTGGAGGTATGACTCCTCTGCTTCTCATTAACAGCTCCCTTAATTACATGCCTCAGGTTAGACAAAGAGCTTGCAATCTTTTAGATTTAGCATCTATGTAGTGACTTAACATTCAAAAACGTGTCAGAAAATTCATTTTTTTCCCCACTATTTTGCCATCGGTTACCAAATAATTGGTCTTAGTGGTAAGCACATTCACATATGAGCTAGCAAGAATCACTACAATGTGGAGGGTGGGCAGGCAGAGAACTACCACGTGCTCAGCTGTAAAGCAGCAGAGCATAGGCACATTCATTAATTCACTAACATCCAATATTGACATTGTGAAAAATGTGAGGATAACACAGAAAAACTGAAATCGCATAAAAAGGTTTGTCACTGCCTTGTTTGTAATGCCATTTGCTTTCTAAAGCCTTTCCTTTGTCTTAATCAAGAACACACCGCTAAACAAAGGCTTATCGCAAAGGTTAGCAATTTCTCACTGCAAAAAGCTGACACCTCTAATTTCATGTTATCAGCTGCTCTGGACACATGTTTCTATTTTTTGTTGTCTGTGACATATCAGAGTATTAAAAAAAAGGGGGAGGGGGTTTGAAGTGAGGAATTAATGTTTAAAAAGTACGTACTGACTGCTGCTGGGAGAAAACGGAGACAGAGGGAAGAGAATTCATCCCTATATTCGCCATTCAGAGAGTTTTACACAGCTGCATCAGAAACACATCTATTAACTGAATATTTTTCAGTATTAGAGCAAAGTATGCTCTACTGGATGCATACTAACATGAATACCAAATGCACACCGAATGTACTAACAATAAGGATAGTTAGCATGTATGATTTTTTTTTTTTATTTTTGTGTTGTCTAAATAGGCGTTTAACTGGAATACAAATTAAAAAAACAATTGTGCTCACAGCAATCACCAGGCAGTAACCAAGCATTACTATTTTAATAATGGCAAAGAGTTTCCTACTTGTCGTGACCATCAATAAGACTGCAACTGTCATAGCTAGCCCTCTATAATGAAGCATTTATGAGAACTAAATCACTTTCCTGAAGTCAACTGTATTTACATTTCTTGTATTCACTGGATTTTGCATCACTGCAGAATACTGTTTTTTACAAGTACTGCAAGGATATTGAGAATGCTGAGATGCAAGCATGGTCACCCACGAGAACATGTGGTTCTCTTTGGTGCTGCTGCGGAACTACAGTGGCCATTTGGTGAATGCTGAACTGGTCGTACTGAGTGCAGGGGGTCCAAACAGTGATGTGGCACTCCCTTTCCCCCACTGCTTCTGCATCTTTAGGCCCACAAAGGAAGAAACTTTCTCAGGGCACTAAGATAGGAAGGATGAGGGTTATCTGACAGAAAAGTTCTCAAGCTAGGTAGTAAGTGGAGTCAAAATACATTTGTACTTTAGTTCAAGGCACACTTTATTTACTTATTTTGCAGCAATATAAAACTAAAGTAATTCTTTTAAATAAAATAGCTATGTCTGTTACACAAAGGAGGTGAGATTTGTTGGATAACATTCTACGCTGTTTCATGCTTCACATGTTTCTGATTTGTAAGGCCAGTTAAATAAAAATACTTTCCTATGTAAAAATTGCACAGGGAATATTACTGTTATCTTCAAGCACGTGGACATATCCCCACATGCTGGCCAGAGGGCACATTGCACAACGACTGCTAACATTTAAAGTCTACTCTGCAGCGCGATTACTCAGTTACTGTCCTGCTTGTCTCTGCATAAAAGGAAGTGTAGAAGGTAATGAATAAAATGTCATCCTCTACTTGGTATGTATGGCAGCCACTGCTAACTTTCTATTTCTGTATGCAAAACGGATGGAGGTAAATCACTGGCATCTCTCCTTCAAGCAATACATCTGTGTATTTGCCACGCTGCAAAGTGCCGCATCACTTGGTTGCGTAGCAGACATTCCTATCTTGTTTTCTCTACGTAAGAACACAACATTTCTGCTTTGGATCCTCAGTGACACAATTAGAGCCACAAGTCCTCAGCAGTCCTATGGAACCTCGCCTGTACAGATATACAAAGGGATACGTGACGGCTGGGCCAAGATATCTCATTTGCTTTCGTTTTTAAGAATACTGTGTTAGAGGGCAAAGCAACGCCAAGCCCGTCGCCTTCCCGACCCATCCCTTGGGTCCGCTTCTATTCCCCACCTCGTTGCACGAACCGCAGCGAGCCGTCCTCCCGACGTAAGCAAATTCTCGGGGAAAAAGCGGGCTAAGCAAGCTGTCTCCTGTGCCAATCGGCATTTTGTTGCTTCACTGGAGATACGCGCTCAGCGCAAACGAGTGCTTCAACGCGACGCCGAGAGGAGCTCGGAAACCGAACGCGCAACTCAGAGAACTGCGTTCGTTTCCATTTGCGAAACGCAGCTTCCGTAACAGAGCACAGAGACCGGAGGCACGTTTCGGATGTCAGGAACCAAGCACGCCGAACCCGCGCTCTCCGCTCCTCGCCGGGACCTCCGCCGGAAGCACCGCCGACGCCCGGCGCTCTACGGAGCCGACGGGGGCGTGGCGACCCCCTCACTACATCGCTCTTCTGCCCCCACGGCTTCCCGCCCTCTCGCTCACACTCCACGCAGCCGCACGCGCCCCGCCCTTCCCGGCGGCGGCACCACAGCAACGCGACGCAGGGCGCGGCCATTCAACGCCCCTCCGCGCGGCGGCCCGGTGACGTCACGCAGCGCCGCCGCCCCCGAGCGCGCGGCCGGGGCGAAGGGGGGCGGTAGAGCGGACGCGCCGCGGCCCCGCCCGCGGATCTCGCGCCTGCGCGGCGGCGCCGGTCGGGCCCTGTCAGCGCTCCGTGCCGGGGCCGTTCACGCCCTCGCGGTGGTCGGTGGGGAGCGGTCGGCGGGAGCCCGAGGAGGTCGGGCCGGGAGCCGCGGCGCGCGGCCTCGCGAAGAACGGGGAGCCCCGTCCTGCCGTCGGTGAGTTCCGTCGCGTCGTGACGCGCGCTGCCGGGCCGCCGCTCCGAGGAGCCGCCCTTCGGCCGCGGGGAAAGCGGCCGGGGCCGGTGGGTGGGAGGTGGCTGCGGGGCCGGGGCGGGGCGGGGCGGCTGTGCGGCGCCGGGGAGCTGCCTGAGGAGCCGGGCGCGGCCCCGTCGCAGCGGGAGGAGGACCCGGTGTGCCGCTGCCGCTTCCTCTCCTACGGCGGGATCGCTCTCGGAGGGCCGCTGCGGGGCGGGCTGCCGCGCCGTGCTCAGGAGCGGAGCCGTTAGGGCCGTTTCCCGTTAGGGCAGCCGGGTGGGGCGGCGGGAGAACGGCGGTGCCCGTGTCGAGCGGAGCTGCGTGGGGCGCCCGTGCGTGCGGGAAGCGTCCAGAGTCTTCTGTGCCCCGCTGCCAGCGGGAAACGAGCCGTGCCTTACCCTCGCCGTCTGTTCGGTGGCGGCGTGTGACGGGCCTTGACGTCACGCGTAGTAGAACCCTGCGGCTGACAACGCGAGCGGTGCCCGCGGCCAGGGAAGCAGCGCTGCCTGGAGTGAGGTTAAAGTACAGCGCCGGTTTGGTTCTGGCTCTAACACTAAACGAACGAGTCGTGTGTGGAAGTACGTAGCTCCTTGGATAGAGAGCAGGAATTTCATTTTTTCCTGACTGAAGGTAAATCTTGCCCGTGGGAGCCTTGAAGCGCTACATCCGTACATCTTTTCCTCACTTGTGTTGCAGGTTGAAGCTCGTGCTGCAGTCGCTCTTACGGACATGTGAAAGTTGCTGTTGTGTGGCTGTATCTTAACTGAAGACTTCTCCCATTCGGTGTTCCCTTCTGAACGTGGTAGGATATAGCTAGGGAAATATTTGATCATGCGTCACCTCCCGAGATAGGTAAACAGAGCACAATGTATTTTAAGCTGTTTGGTTGGGATTTGTTTGCATGTTTGTTTTTGTTTTTGCGAAATCATAACAAGAGGCATTTTGCTTGCTCTGTGTTGACTTCTGCAAAGAAAAATAGTTCACCCTAGTTCACTGATAGCTATGGTGCCAGGAGTCATGCCATTGGTTTACATAACACTCTGGTGCTAGCTGGTGTCTGGCTTGTCTGAGCGAGTTTACACTGAAGCGATATATACATGATCCTGCAGAATATATGATTGAGTGCATTGGTTGTGCATTGTATTCTGGGTCGTGCTATTGGTGCTGTTTTGTCACTGTTGATGAAAACTTGAAGTGATTTTACACTGTGTTGCACTGATTCCTAAACTGCTCTGAAAACGTGGGGAAACTGATGTTGTGGGAGTATAGCAAAAGTAGTAGTGAAAAAGTCATTCTAAGGTCTTAATCCAGAATACTGAAAATGTAAGGGAAGAGTAATTTTTGTATCTTGTGCAGACAGGCACAAAGTTTGTCAGCACAGAAACAAATACTTGCAATCTTGTCATGCTAGCAATGAGAGCTGGCATGAATGAGTTTGTATGTGTGGCCTCCTTCTACTGCAGAAGTAACCGTGAAGCTGTGGCCCTGTATTAATTTTATTGCGAAATTGGGACTTCTGTTTGAGCTGTTTCTTCTTTAGAATTGTAAGTTCAGTAGTTCAGCTGACTCACAGTTGTTTGAATATAATGATTGACGTGTTTTATTCTTTATGTTGTGTAACTGCATTGATCAGAGCTGACTATGGTGGTTTTTTTTTTTTTTTTTTTTTTTTTTTTCTGAGCTGTGAGTCAAGTGTTGTTTTTGGGGATCTTTTCAAAGCCATGCAGAGAGCTTTCTGGAACCAGGCAGCTCCCCGGGTTAATAAACTAACCTGTACTTAGAAGTAGCTTAGAAGATGTTTGAGGTCACCTCCACTGCCTAGAAATGGCAGTGACTGTAATTTGAATAGTTTAGAATAAGTAATTATAGAAGTGCCACAGAGGATAATATTTAAAATTTTGAAATAAACTTTGATAACTCCCAGAATCTGCATATTTTAAAACTGAAATTTGAAGTGACCAGTAAAGGATCTTACTGAGGTTAACACAAATATTTTGTATTATTTGTGTGTACTTGTGGATTATGTGCTATCTAGGCACAATACTGAAAAGCTGTCCATTTTCCCTTTCTTGAACAGCTACGCATAAAGAAAATTCTAGAAAAGTGAAGCTGGAAGATCAGCAATCAAGAGCATAAAAATGTTGTGCTGGGGAAATGCGTCGTTTGGACAACTTGGACTGGGTGGAATTGATGAAGAGATTGTTTTAGAACCCAGAAAAAGTGACTTTTTCTTAAATAAAAGGATCAGAGATGTGGGGTGTGGACTAAGACACACTGTTTTTGTCCTGGATGATGGGACTGTTTATACGTGTGGATGCAATGACCTAGGACAACTAGGGCATGAAAAAGCCAGGAAAAGACCTGGTAAGTTGAGAAGAAATGAATTACAGAGCATACCTGTATTTGAGTGTGTTTTTAATTTGTGATGCTACATCAAGCCCAAGGCTGTCAGTGCTTGTGTGTGTGCTGAATTGTATGCACAGTAGTTCTTCCAAGATCGGTCATGTTTTTAACAGAAAAAACATCCCTTTGCTTGGTTTGCGTGGCTGTGTCCCTGTATTTTTGCCAGTTCAGCTAGTTTTCAGTGTGTTCAGTAGTTTCAGTTTCAGTGTTTTCAGTGCGGAATTGCTTTACCTAAGGCTGTAGAAGACTCACTGAGTGCCTGTAAGCCCAAGGGGAGATGACCTTCTTCAGTATGTGGATTAGTGTTGTTCCATATGGATGGGTTTGGCTACTGGAACGTGCTGGAAATGAATATCTGGCATACCACAGTTGAGAAGCACGTTGTGTGTTTTTATTACTGCAGTGTATTGTATGGAGCATGTCTGATTAAAGCAGTGTGATTTAATTCTTCTTTTTTTAAAAAACAAAAACAGATGAAAAACTTCTGTACAAATGCATTGCTAGAGCAATAGAATTTGGAAGAACCTAAAGGATGCAGTGTAAAACTTAAAGGGGCTTTTTTCCTTTTTTCTATGTTACTATGAATTTTTGGTTCTCCCTGGAGCGGTTCTGTAGCAGAGCTGGTAAACATCTTGTAGGGACTGCAGAGGAGTGTGCACATGGGCTCCCCTCAGAGCTGTGCATGTGAGTCATATCTGCATGCTGCTTAGAGAGATGGAACAGTGCATCTGACAGTGCTTCTGTAATAAGCATCTCGTAAGCAAACTGAAAAGCCTTAGTAAGAGTTTATTCTGATAGCTGTGAAGGAGTTTTGCAAGTTACTTGGCACGATAATTGATACAAACTGTTCATATGGAAACAAGAAAGATAGTACCTCTCTATTATGCAATATTCTAGTCATTCTTTGTTCAGAGTTTTGAATTTGATGCCAAATAAAGGTTTTTCATGTAGTTGATGTGTAACTTAGGACTAATTTGGACTTCAGTTGGGAAACAGTAAACGGGTGTTAAAACTGATAAACTCATAAACTCCGTTTTGCGAATAGGAATAGAAACTCAACTTGTCAAACTTGTTCTGAATACTTGTTACACTTTGAAAATGATGCTGGAATTGTCTTTTAACCCTTAAAAAATATAATGGGGTAACTAATTGAGCATTCTGGAGAGGCTCAGTGTCTTTACAAATGGGTGCATGCTCTTCTGGGTGTATTTCTGCTGGTCAAAGGTACTTGTGTCACTGCTTGTCTTTGCCACCAGTGTCACCAGCGGTGCTATTTAGCTCTCTCTTACCTCTTGCCTTCCCTCAGAGCTGTACTGGTCACAGAGGTTCTATGAATTATTCATAAAACCATGTTAGTTAGCAAAGTCAGGCTGGCTAGGTTAGCAGCTGGTAAGGATGGTCTGCCCTAATGTACACAGTGTTGCCTGAACTAGAAAGTGCAAATGTTGCCTCTTCTACTGGCAGAGCTGTCGAGACCCTTATGAGCTAAACTGGGCTGGCAACCTCTTTAATAACACCAGCTGGTAGCAGTATGAGTGATTTTTTGCTGCCTTTTTAAATTTTATTTTGTAAGCTGAGTGTCTGTCACGTTGCAGATACCATTAACTACCATTTTGGAGCTGAATTAGGCTGCACTAGGCTGTTTCTGTACTACATTGATGATACACAGGAGTTTTTATCGTGATTCTTAATCAGTAGTAGAATTCACACGTTTGAAGACTGGGCATAAGATTTTCAAGGGGGAACTGTGTACAGGAAAAAAAATCGCAGGTACTTTAGTGTTTGCTTTTCACAGGTGTGCATTGTACGTCTAGAAAAATTAAGCTTTAGGATCTGTTTCTACAGTGTTTTGCTTTATAAAGAGGACATTGTGCAGCTAATTGCAAAATCAGTAGCTTCAGTCTTTAATTGCTCCTGCCTTGTTTTGCGGCTCCTCTTTGTTTATAATGAATAGGTGAATTCAACTTGCTGTGTTGAGGTGTTTTCCCACGTACAGAAGTCTACACGTGTAGTCATTTGACTGTGAATTTTGTTATTCATTCTCAGATAGCAAGGTTAGAAGAAGACATCGAAAAACAAAATCGGCAGGGTTTGTGCGGTTTTGTATGTGATCGTGCCAGGTTAATTGCAAGAGCTCTTGTTTGAGTGGCAAACTTCTCCTAGAAAGCATGTTTATAATTCTAAGATAAGGCTATTTTGGCAGAATTCTAGGCTTGCTTTGGTGTCATTTCAATGGGCATCTAGGAGATAAATGACTGTAACTGTTGTGGATAGCATTAACTTGTTAATTGCTTTTCTTTTATTACTGACTTTTTTTCTTATTTTCTTAGAGCATGTTGGTGCCCTGGATGCCCAAAATATTGTAGCTGTATCATGTGGAGAAGCCCACACTCTTGCATTAAATGACAAGGGTCAGGTATATGCTTGGGGTCTGGCTACTGATGGACAGCTTGGCTTGCCTGGAACTGAAGAATGCATCAGAGTGCCCAGGTTAAAACCTATATATATATAGTAAAGTTATTTTCATTGAAAAAGTGTACTTAAATTTCACTAGTCAGACTATTCTGTTATAATTAAGAACACTCATTAGGAAATGTGTTTTAGCTGTTATGCTTGCGTGCCTCAGACTGTTTATTTCCTTTCTCAAATAGTCAGTTTAGGTGAGAAGTGTGCAGTGGGTTTGCTAAGGTAGTTTATAAATTGTCATCTGCTAAGAGTGGAAGTTACACTGGAAAAGTAACATGTTTGTTATTTTTCAACATAGATAAAAACCCGAGTGACAATTCTTTAGAACATGAGTAATTCTTAACTTGGCTGTGACTGTTTGTGACTTGTGTAAGTGTGGAAGATAGGAATAACAAATTTAAAGGTTATTCAATTCTGTATCAAATTTACAAGTCCTCGGGCCTTTCAGGAGTTCCCATTTCTCTCATCAGAATGAAAGTGTACTAGAATTACTGTAGCTTAATGTATGCATTTGCTGCTTCTTGATTATATTGTGTGATGCCTACTTGCTTGTAAGCAAATTTGAAGTTGATATTAGAGATTAAAAAAATAGTATTCAAGTTTTAGAATGTAATTCAGCCTTTACAACTAATATTGATTTTAAAAAAGAGTAATATGTTGTAAAACTACTTTTATTTTGAGAACTAAAAAAGGAGAGTCTCTTCTTGCTTCTTTTATTCATTGCCTCCATTCAGCAATGGCATCTCCTTCTAGCATCTCCAAAGTACATCCACCTCCCTAATCTTTCATTTGGTTTTTTACTGAATTGATTAACTTGAAAATAAGACAATCACTGAAGATGTTGGCAAAGATGATGTTTTGTCTTAAGGTGTAACTAAATAGCTTTTAGAGCATTTAAGTTAGTTTCATGTACATTATTACAGTGGAAAGGACACATTTGATGATTTTATCCTTTAATGTGACTTGTTATTTCATACCACGATCTAGCAGCTTAATTCCTTCTCTGTTTTCTTACCCCAATAGAAATATTAAAAGCTTATCAGAGATACAAATTGTGCAAGTTGCTTGTGGTTATTATCACTCACTTGCACTCTCAAAAGGTAAGCAAGATTCTTCTGGAGCTATATATAATTTCTTACCTGGTAGTTCTAAGGTTTTCAATGTTCTGTTTCACTTAGACTTAAATTTCAAGAACAAATGTATAAACTGAGGCAGTGTTGATTATTCTTTCTTTTTTTTCTTGTGCTTTTTTATTTATTGTCTTGCTTTCACGTAATTTTCTTTTTTAATTATTTTTTTTCTTTCCTTTCTCTTATCTCACTTCATTTTCACCCTGCTAGCATTCTGCTTTGTCGCTGGTCTTTTGTTTTAGCCTGTAAATTACAGTTATCAAGGCTCGCAGGCACTTAATGCCTTTTCTATTGTAAATGCTGGTTTTTGTTGGTGATTCTAAAGTTAATATTTAATTTTCTATGATAACCCACATTTTGAATAGTTAAACGTTTTCTCAAAACTTTTCTGGGTCTGTGAATATACTTAGTTGGCTTCACTCGTGTCACAGCACCACAGCATCTATTAAATGTAACTGCCAATAAAGACAAACATGAGTTTAAATCTACTTCTTGTTTGTTTTTATTGTGACAAATGAGAGTCGTGTCCAAAAACTCTGAAACAAGTGGCTGCTGGACAGAGTTAATGATCATTGTGGAAATCTGTGGTGTTAAGGGGGGGAGAAGAGGGCAGATTACTAAAGGATGGTAGTGTTTGACAGTGTTTCTGTTTCGTGTGAGTAAAATTTCAGCTGCGTAAAGTGGGCAGGAGGGGTATTCATTGTATGCTGATCTCTTTAAATTTGCATTAATTTATACTGACTACCTGTGCCTTGATTCTCTGTGTAATTGTTCATGGACTTGTATTGATTTCTGTGCCATTCTGGTAGCTTTGCTCTGTATAATCTAGTGACATTCCTTTATTTTGAGGATATAAAAGATATATTCTGAGATATAAAGTTAACGCTTTGTCTGAGTTTTATACGTATGAAATATATTTAAAAATATTTCTATATTTGTGTGTATATGTCTATATAATGTATTTTAAATTAGACATATATATATATATATATGTATGTATGAAATAAATACAGCATAAATGAAATGGCCTGCATTTCAAGAGATAGACCTGAATGTTTGGTATCTTGATAAACACTTTGTTGGAAAAAATGGAGATAGAAGGGACATAGGTAATGTTACTGTTTGAAAATCAGCCTGTTAGCTAAGGTGTACCATATCTTTGCTATTAGTTGTTCATCCTAATGATAATGAACACTGGTTGTTCATTAAATTATTTTCTTTTGGGGATAATGAATTCATAAATAGCTCTCTGACTTGCGTTTCGTGAAAATAAAATTGTGTTTTTAACATTTTAAGGCATCAAATTACTTTATTCTTCATCAGTTATATATATAATACAATGTTTTAAGATATTTGCACGTGAAAAAGAAGTCTGCTACTGTATGGAAAGCTTAAGTGAGGCTTGTGATTGGAAATAGGAAGCCTTTGCATGTTTGGCATGCAGCTTTGGCAAGTTCTCTGCATTAGAGTGTGTGTGGTGATGGAACTCTCCATGGAGGAGCATCTTGGTTCCTGATAACTGAGCACCGTTTATCTGTCACTGCTGCAACTGCAATGTTGAGAAAAGCGCTGAGGGTTGGAAACGTTGTTTAAATATTTGGGTTGAACAAGAGAACGCTTTGCTTCAAAAGTGTTCAGTGATTTGCGTGCATTTTCAAACTGAAAAATAGTTGAAAGTGTCTGACTTAGCTTTTACTTTTTCTTGAAGTAAATAAATCTTATATAATTAAATGACGTTGACTGTATTTCTTTTCTTATTTGAACAGGAAGTGAAGTGTTTTCCTGGGGACAAAATAAATATGGCCAGCTGGGCTTAGGTTACGAGTATAAAAAACAAAACTCCCCACATGTGATTAAATCTCTGCTGGGAATCCCTTTTGCACAGATTGCAGCAGGAGGAGCTCACAGTTTTGTATTAACTCTTTCTGGAGCCATCTTTGGATGGGGACGCAACAAATTTGGACAGCTGGGTCTTAATGATGATAATGGTGAGTAGTCATTGCAAAGCATCATGCTTAAAGTCCTGGTTTGTGAATATGAAGCTATCAGTATTCCTAAAATAGTAGTGGACAAAACAAAGCTTTGTTCAGTACATTTGATGGTGCCGATGTTGTGCAAGATTACATAAGGAGGACAGAGTTAGGCTTTTTTTTTTTTTCCTTGCTCCAATGGCTATTTTGTAGTGAAAATTCTGGCAGCATTATGTTGAAATTCCAGTCTGCTTGGCTTGTGTTCTCTTCCTGTGAGATTTTTCTTTGTGACTTAGGCTTTCAGAGTGGCTTTCTGTGTACCAGCTATTAGATGTCTTCATTGTTTATTACCGTTATGTGGATATTGTCCTTTCTCAGGCCACTTGAGGTGAACAGTTTGTGATTTTTCAGCTAACCGTTTGCAGAATTTCCTCTATTAGGGTGGTAATACTCATTAACAACTTCAAAAAGCAGTTAGGTTAGACAAAAATTGGTTTCTCTTGCAGTTCTGTTACTCTATATATACAGTACCAAGGCGCAGGAGTATATGCTGTCAGGTTCCCTCAGTATACAGTTAGCTACAGAATCTATAGCTAGTTCAGTGATTTGATGTTCTCTCACTGGTCCATTGTTCCCAACACCCTCTAAAATCAGAAAAATAGATTGTAATTAACTAACACATTTGAATTCATGCTTTAAATGTGGCCACATTTATGTAATAACAGATTTACACAGACTTTCTGTGATTTTCTGGTGAAGTCATTTTTTCGTGGGAAAATTCGGTTTCTTCTACACAAAATTGACTGCTTTTTTTGCTTATGTTTAGATAGGGTCTTTTTCCAGACATCTTTGTGTATCTGACAGCTTTATAGATGCTAGTATTAACATTTAGAAACATTACTTTGTGCAGCTCGATGACTTAAGTTGCTCTGTTGCCACCTTGGAAGGAAGTTAGTTATACCTGCTGACTACTCCATGTTCCATGCTATTAGTCATTTAATAGAATTGAACTATAAGAGATTGATACATAATGGAATGCTATAAAATAGTGAAGCACATAAACTACTCAAAACATGTCATCTCTTTTCTGTTGTCCTGGTCAATGGCAGGCATGATGCACTGCTCTGTATTTCATTATTTGCATATTAACATATGGTCAATCATGTGAAAATGAGGATATTTGCTACAAAATAACTCAATATAGTAATTCTGTATTTTTTTTTTCTGTAGTGGTGTTACCACCTCAAAGATGTATAGGTTCAGCCACAGCAATTGTATCTTGTTAACAAATCTAAAACACTTCTTTGTTTGAAACAGAGTAAGAATGAATGGGTGAAATTATTTGTCTTTTGATTTTTGTTTTCATAACAAACAATCCATTGCTGTATTAAACCTCTCAGACAGGTATGTTCCTACCCTGCTGAAGTCACTGAGAACTCAGAAGGTTGTTCATATATGTTGTGGAGAAGATCATACTGCTGCCCTTACAAAGGTACAACTCTTAAAAATGCTTATGCTTTCATTTTCAATATTTTAAAGAGAAAATGCTACCTGACTAGGAAATAACAAAACTTCTTCAGTGTTAATTGGATGAAAGCAAGGAAGCACTGGAAGAATGGTTAAATAATTGGGGAAAAAATGCAAAAAATCTGTAGTTTTAAAATCTTGTCAGACACGATAAAGGTGAGCATACAAAATAGAGTATTTCTGATAAGGCGGTGTGTGTTGCATTATTAAAATTGTGCAGGTATTTACATTAGTGTATGCTAAAGAGATTAGCTGCTTTTGAAATGTAACACCTCCAGCATTATTGCTTTTATCTCCAGTCAGATCAGGTTAATATTGAATTGAAGCTCCGTGCCCAGGGGGTTGACAGTATGTGGTTTTTTAAAGAGTTGTCATATTGAATTGCATTTTTCTACTTAAGTACTTAAGAAATTGGAAATGTACCTAATCCTCTAGAAAGCATTTCAATGTGAGGGTCTATGTAAAATCGGCCATTGATTTCAAGGCCAGTGTGGAGGGTGGTGATGAGGGAGGGGTGGGGGTAAAAAAAAAAAAGTATTCTGTTCATGCAGAGATGTAGGAATCAAAAGTGAGAGCTTAGATGTACCAAGCTGCTGTGTGCATCACTGGGCTAAACACATAATTTGGAGTCTCATGTTTGTTTGAGGTGTGGGAACTTTAAGGAGAAACATGAAAAGTAATGCTGGAGCTTTGTTTCATCTTAGTGTTGGGCAGTGCATTTCAAGCATCAAGTGATATGTAGCCTTACTTTGTGGTGGGTAAAGTAGTACGTGTATATCTTTTTCTAAGTGCTTGACTCCCGTGCCTTTCTGTCTGTGTTCTGATACTTGAGTTCAATTTCAGCATTTAGATAAAATGTACCGATTTATAAACGGAATATTTTGGACTTGCATTAGTAGAAAATTCTGACTGATGAAGATTTGGACAAGTGACAAAGCATTTATTTTCCAAGTCTGTATTCAGGATGTTGTAAGAGGTGTTGGAATTTTTGAGTTAACAATTTAAAATGTCTTATTTTTGAAAGAGAAGATCAGTATTTACTTTTGGAGAATGTATGTGTGTGTTTCAATTTTTGCACTGCAACAAATGAAGTTTTGAAGAATATGGTCTGCTTAAGTGTGGCCATATCTTATATACTTTACATAAGCTGATGTTTCTGAAGTGAAGGGAAAAATAAACTGTTCACAGAGAATTTGTGTTATAAAATATTCTCTTCTTTTGACTGGAAAAGATGTGGCAACTTTGCATTTCTAAAATTGATATTTATGTATCGTACAAGGCAATGGAAATAGGGAATGTAAAGAAAACAGCAGTTTATAACTTGCATTATAACTTTTTTTCCCCTTTTTTTATGTACAGAAGTTTACTTCAGGCTTGTTTTAAAGCTGATAGACTCAAAATATTGGATTTACTGTAGATTCTGCAAGTTTGTTACCTGTATGAATCCATTTCCCTTTGCATGACAGGCCTTGAAGAGCCAGGGGTCTTGACTTTTGTAGATGGTACTGTGTATGTGTGTGACCTTTTCTCAAGCCCTTCTGAAATACAGAAAAACCTGTCACTATTTGTTATTCTGATTCAGTTAATGAACCTGTTGGTTTTTCTTAGCGGACGCTGCCATTTTAATGATGATTTCCAGCAGAGGTCCAATCTGTTGCAGAGTAAGAAACAGCTTTACAATTTCAAAGCATGTCAAAATGGAAAGTTTTAAAGTTGTTGTAAGGTAAGTTGTATAACTTTAGAAAATGTTTCTGATTTAATATTCATTTATTTAAGTTTTTGGTTAATTTTGTGATAAATTAATCAAAAACACTTCTAAAAATTGACTTGCCTTACAACAGCATTGAAAATTTCTGTTTTGTCTTTTCAAATAATGAAGTTAACTGTCTCAGTCATACTGCTCACTCTGCATTGTCTTTCTGAGGAGGGCAGCTTCCTATTTAATCATTGTTTTAAAAATTTCATTCAGTGTTTAAAATCCAAGCTACACTTTTTGGTAGTATGAGTTTATATTGCCATCATAGTCATTATGAAATCTGGAAAGGAGGAAAGGATGAGGGTTAGTGCCTGCAGTAACACAAGTTAATGCCGGAACTGCTGCATACTAATGTGAAATTACAAGGCTGAGATTTAACACAAATAAGGTAATAGCTGTGATAGCAATGCTGCATTTTCAGGATAGTAATAACCTTGTGATCTTTCTGTGACTCAGGGACCTCTTGTGCAAATCTATTTTCTGTCCTTTCCCCACAGTTCCAAAATTATCAGACAAGGTGATTTATTAAACTCCTTTTTCTTACAATTTTCTTGTTCCAAGACATATTATTATTTTAATCCACGTAATTTATTTGTTTAGGAAGGTGGGGTTTTTACATTTGGAGCTGGAGGCTATGGTCAGTTGGGACACAACTCTACCAGCCACGAGATAAACCCAAGGAAAGTTTTTGAACTGATGGGAAGTCTTGTCACACAGATAACTTGTGGCAGGTAAGGTCTGTTTTGCACAAGCACTGTGAATCTTACAAACACTTGTTTTGTGTAATACTTTGTGCAAATTCTAATACAGGATGTTTTTTTTCTTTAACCTTTCTTTTGTGGAAGATAGTCTCTAGTGAAAGATAGATGCTGTAGTGAGGTTCTAAAAACATTCACTAGAACCAGTATGAAAATCTCATTATTTGAGAACTCATTACCTGAATTGAAAATGTTAATAATCATGTGCTTGCTTTTTGCTGTCATTCAATTATTCCCTGTTAAAGAGGGTGTCTGGGGAGGTGCGTGCTCTTTGGTGAGGATAAGCATAAGATTTGGGAGCATAGCTCATGATGCGAATGATCCATAAAACTGAATTACCCTTCAGTTCATAATGCTTTCTGTGGTATTCGTATTATGATAGCACCCAAGAAATGGGAAAAACTGTCAACACAGATGAAAATGTCCTTGTCCAAAACACTTCATTCTAGCAATTCTTGTTGAGATAAGCATATTTTGTTATTTGGATTTAAAAAAAAAATGTGTATTATGCTGTCCTTTCCTCATAACAAATTGGACCTTTTTCATTTGGTCAACTCGATACTGATTGTTCCTAAGTGCATAGGAGAGCAGGAAACTAGTGTTGGGATGAGGAACTGTACAATCATTGGATCATTCAAGGCTGTCTGGCCCAACTCCCCTGCAGTGAACTGGGACACCTGCAGCTCCATCAGGAGCTCAGAGCCCCATCCAGCCAGGGGCAGGGTGGCATGCAGCCAATCTGGTACAAACTAAACATTTTTGAACATCCAGAGAGATGCTCAAAGGATCAGACTGTTTGCAGACTTCAAGGCAAAACCTGGCATCTCCATTATTCCTGGAACATTTCCGGAACACGTGTTGACAATGTTGTCAGTGATGGTGCATTGCCAATAGAGATGTGGAGTGTTCACAGGTCCTTTCAGATACTGTTTAACAAAATTCTTAGGTTGGCCTGTGCAAAGCATGTTGTGATGCTGAGAGTTTTGTTACTGAATTCTGTTTCCCTTAGGCAGCACACTACTGCATTTGTTCCTTCGTCTGGAAGAATTTACTCTTTTGGACTTGGAGGTAACGGGCAATTAGGTACAGGAACAACCAGTAATAGGAAAAGTCCCTTCACAGTAAAAGGAAACTGGCTTCCTTACAGTACTCAGTGCCTGATCCCTGCAGGTAAGCAGCACCTGGCATATTTACTTTTTGGACTTGCATTCCTTAGTAAGTGTTTTGCAGATCTTGAGATCAGACTATAATTGTTTCCTTCCCTGCAGTTTGTTTTCACTGTGCTCTGTTCTCACTGCAGAAATGGACTTCAAGAGAAGTACTTGCAAAAATTGCTTAAATGTGGTATTGGGTTAGGTGCCTTGTTAGCACTAGAACATTAACTTACAGCTCTTATTGCTTACCTCTGTCAAAGATGGCTTTAATGGTTGCATTGTGAAGAACTACTGACACTGAGGTTATGTAACAAATGAACTGTTTCACAACTGAATGCATTTATTGCAGCATCTTGAGTGTTTCTCAGATTCACTTTTTCAGTTGCCTTTGTTTTATTGTTATTGCAGACAGTGAGCAGTATTATTGCGTGAAAAGAATTTTCTCTGGTGGGGACCAAAGTTTTGCACACTACTTTTATCCACAGGTAACAAATTAAATATACTTTAGAATGAAAATATTTAAAACTCAGCTTCATTTTATTTCTGATGCCCTTAAGGAGACTTTGATATTGAAGATGCAGAACTACATTGTAATATTTTATAGCGTGGAAGCACAAGACATTGCAGCAGTTTAGCAGTGAAGACTTGGATAAAGTTTGTGTGTTAGCTGTCAGTAAAGCATTTTGGCACAAGCTTTTTGCTGAGTGGTGAATGTGTGCCTTTCTTTCCTTTTAATGGAATCGCAGAATAGTTGAGGCCGAAAGGGAACTCTGGGTCCCTCTGATCTAACCCCCCTGCTCGAGCAGGGCCTGTCTGAGCAGGTTGCCTAGGGCCAGGTTAGGTGGCTTTTGAATATTTCCAAGGAGGAGACTGCATAACTTCTCCGAGACAACCTGTTTCAGTGCTCAAAATCACCTTTTCCTTTCAGAAAGTAAAAGGTGAGTGAATACTTGAGCTCTTCCGCCCCACCCACCCTCAGTCCTGACTGCAGCTATGCTGTGTTCTGCTCTGTGATCAATATAGCATTCTACAGTGATGAGGAAACAAGTGGAGCTAAAAATGATAAATGGTGGCTGTCTGTATTGATAATTTTGTGCTAGTGTTAAAACAGTACCTTTCTTTAAGAGAATAAGAATTGATCTCTGTAAATTCTATTGTGTGTGTTGGAGGGGGGAATGGCAAGGTGGGAGTATGATGGAATGGAAGCACTATTAGACAATGGCTTGGGAAGAGAGATGTCTGGATTTGTATAGGGGATATTTCTGAATAGTAGCCTAGATTTAGATTTTAGACTAGGGTTTAATGAAGCAACATGAGTTGGAAATGTGGAGGGAAAACAAAACCAAACACAAAAACAACTGATTAGGCAGTGAAGGGAAACAGTAAGGTTTTAGGAGAAAACATGTTTGTTTGTCAAGCAAAACTGAGTACAGGTCAGGCTTGCAGTAACCTTTTATTCCTACAGCCTGTCATGATTGTGAAGAATTAAGTTTTTCTCCCATTTTCCAGTTCTGATTGAGTTTTGATAACTGTTACTGTGTGGGATAGAAGTTTGTTTAACAGGTGTTAAGCAGGTGTGATAGAAAAGGCTCAAAACTTCTCTATTAAAATTATTTTCTCAAAAAAGATTCTACTGTGCAAGTTTCATAATTGCTGAAGTAGATTCTGACTAATAGAGGTGGACTCTATGAATGCAGTTATTGTACTGTACAAGAAGCATTAGCAATAGATGGAATTTGGTGCTGCAAAAACATCCCTTTTAGTACTTCTTAGTTTGTCAGTTTGCACTGAATTCTTTCAAAGTTACGTGAGTACTGTACTGCTGGGACCCGTGTGCCCTTGCCAGCTAAGGGGTCTCAGCCAGGCCTTTTATTCAAGTTAATTTTTGGACAGGTCAGTTCCCTCAGTTGTTTCATTATGTGGCTAAATGATATTTTTGCTGGACAGGGAAACAGCAAGATCCTGGAGGATGGGATCAGGATACTGATTTTTGGCAACAGCTAGTCATCATTGTACCAAGTCAGCTGTGTTTGTCAGCCTGCATCCTCAAGAGAAATGTTTTTACTAGTTTTATTTTAGTTTTGGTGCTGTTTGCTCCCCCCTTTCTGGACCAGTTCTCCTCCTCAAAATGATTTTCTTGTTTGTTTCCTTTTTCTATTGGGAATCTCACTGTAGTTCATTCAGTATGAGCAGCACATCAGAATGCAAGTTCTGTAATGTTCAACAAAGAAACATGATTCATTCTCAGAGGAGTCTGGATGTGGGGTGGGAGGGCAGCTACCCAAAGTTTGAATGGATCCTCTTCTGTATGCTCATGGCCTGGCAGTGAACTAAGTGGATGATAGTAAGCAGATGTCTGCCATTCTTGCCTAAAGCCTTTTTTTGTGTTCGTCTTTTAAGAGTGTATGTTTGCCATGAGATATCCTGTGGTGTGGATTAACACGTTAATCTGAGTAGTTTTAGTTTATGGTAGTTTACTCTGTTTTCATGGCAAGTACAGAACTACTAGAATACAGTAATTTTATCCGTTAGCTTATTTCACAGTGATACTTTGGGTAGGTAAATGGTTGATCAGTGAAGAGAAAGAGAACTTAACCACAGGACTGATTTCCTGGAAATCAGCTTTATGTGCCTGATTCTTTGTGTTCTTTGAACTTCAGAACATGGTGCCACCAGATGACTTCAGGTATCCTGACCTTTTGAAGCAGATCTGGACTGTGAATGAAACGTTTATTCAAAGATTGCTGACTTTCCCATCTGGAAGGCTTCCTGTAGAGATAGCTAAGTAAGCTTTGTTGAGGAAAAAAGTTGTCTTTCATAATTTTATTTGTTTTGGGTGTGAATGTGGATTTGAACATACATAGCAAAGGTTTTTTTAATTACTGACTTTTATTATGTGCAGAGTATTTGCCGTGCTTTCGTTGACATAAGGTAATTGAGCTCCTTTAGTCCATGTCTCACCTGGCACAACTTAGTCACCTGAGCTTAATGCAAGATTTAAATATTTAGTTGTGCATTGAAGAATGACAGTGTGTGTAAAGGAATTTGAGCATAATGCAAAGATTATTTTCATTACTTTTCAAGAGGAGTGTGCAAAGAAAAAAGAACTGGAACTTCTTGCTTTGTTTTTAGCATTATTTGAACGTTGTCTTTAAATGAAGATTTTATATGATGTTAAACGTCAGATTAAACTCAGAATTAGATTTTATGTACAATGTAACTCTAGAGATTAAATACAGTTTTTAATAGAAAATGCTATTTTGTAGAAAAAAAAAAAAAAGAAATGTAACTTCTTTCATATGGAAACTTTCAGTGAAATTGATGGTACGTTCTCCTCAGCTGGGTGCCTGAATGGGAGCTTTTTGGCTTTGAGGTAAGTTTCAGCTTTTAAACAACTATTCCTGTGAACAGAAGAGTTTGTGACCAACTTCCTAGTGTCTGTTGTTTCAACAATAACACCTTCACTCAATTTCTTTATCTTAATAGTACTCAGATGCTTTTGCTTTAACTTTCTAGCTCCTTTATTATGGATAGTTTATCAGCTGGCCCAAATGCAGAGTGTCTGCTAGCAGTTCTTAGAAGTGCATGCCACCTGGCTGCTGCCCTGTTAACCAGCAAAACTCATTACTTAGCAGCTGCAAGTCACATATGATTTTAAAGGAATATATTGTACAGCCTGCTCTAGATCTTGGTGTTTTTTTCCATGATTGCCTGGCAGTTAGAATGTTTTTTTTTTTTTTTTATTGCTTTGAAGGTTGTATGTTGGAAGTCTGATACTGTGATCAATAAAACTTAAGTTCCACAGTAAACAAAGCTAAAAAATCAAGGTGGAAAACTTGTAAGTGCTGAGAATACAGGATTCAGTCTTTTTCTGCATTTTTCTCTCCTTGCCATAGCAATGACGATCATTACAAAACCAGCGTTAGATTCTCAGGGGTTGATATGAATGCTGCTAGACTACTATTTCACAAACTTATACAGCCTGACCACGCTCATATATCACAACAGGTTTGTGCTGCATATTTTCTTTATGTTTGGAAACATCTTTATACCTATCTAGAAATACTATTGTTATGCTTGCTTGGACACATTTGTGTTCTTTACATGATAATATTTGCCAGAAGGTAACACCAACATACTGTATGTCTGTATTTTAAAATCCAGAACCAAGACAGTAAATTAAATATTATAATGTAGCTCAAACTTAAACCCTTGATTGTTATTTTCTAGTTTACTTCTTATTTAGGTGAAATTTTGTTGAAATGTACAAATTTATTAAAGTAAACTGAATTTTATTATGCTCTGTAGGTGGCAGCTAGTTTGGAAAAGAATCTTATTCCAAAATTGAGCAGCTCCTTACCAGATGTTGAAGCTTTAAGGCTGTATCTCACTCTACCAGAGTGCCCGTTGATGAGTGATGCAAACAATTTCACAACATTAGCTATTCCATTTGGAACAGCAATTCTGAAATTAGAAAAAGCTCCTTTAAAAGTTCTTGGTAAGAAATTGAATTTTTTTATTTTTTAATTTTTTTTACTCTTAAGGGATACAGGAATAAAAACGTATAGAAATTTAATCAGTGAAGACATAGTCTCAACAACATCCTGGTTATTCACAGTTCTGTTGAATTTTTCAATCAGGAAGCTAAGGGTTAAATTTGCATAATACTAAAGAAAACAGCTATCCTAACTTCTGCACGCAGAAGTTTGTTGAGCATCTCTTTTTGTTCTTCAGAGCTTCCCCATTTTAATAATGCTTGTTGTGTGCTCAGCTGCTAATAGCCCGTGCGTTGTTTTAAATCCCAGAATAGGGTGGGCAGAGAAGGTGTATGAGAAGGGCATGGAGTTTATACACCAGAATCATTTTAAAGTTGGAAGACTGATGTTTCTCTAAATCTTGCTCTGTACAGAGCTGAATGTGTAATAAAACATCAGTACTTTGTTGTTCTGTCTCTGCTCACCTCTTCTTACAGTTTTCGGTAACTGATAAGTACATTTTCAAGTAAGAAAGGTTCTTTTGATTTAAAAAAAAAATGCAATGTAGTAGTAGAAAGTACTGTATTTGTATGTTTGTCATTTGTTGACAGAAAATTGGTGGTCTGTACTTGAACCTCCGTTGTTCCTCAAAATAGTGGAACTCTACAAGGATGTTGTGGTCCACCTCTTGAAGTTGTATAAGATTGGCATTCCTCCAGCTGAAAGAAGAATATTTACAAACTTTCTACACACAGCTTTCAGAGTTCTAGAAATACTGCACAGGGTATGTTTATGTCAGTTTAAACCGACTGCTTTATCTGTTTGTTTTTTGTCAACATTGTGTGCTGTGTAGTTGTTGAAAGTTAAATAACTAAACAGTTCTAAATATTTAAACTTGACATCTACAGAAGAATCTGTAGTTTTTTGTTTTGGACCTAAAAAATATTAGAATTCTGGATTCCAATCTGACATGGGGATGGAATTATCTATTTTCATGTGACTGACCCAAGCAATTGCTTCTGTGAGGGCATGTTGGAAAGAATTTTCTTTAGAAATGATAGTGAATAAGGTCAAAATTGGAAGGTAAGAGTATGTTGCATTTTGAGGTAGGTTTGAACAGTTTTACCAGGGCACATATTTCTTCTCTGATGTGTTTACTCAGGGTGTTAGTATCTTAATTTAATACATGAAAATTAATGAATTTTTGAGCTTTGAACAAAAATAGCCCAAATGATTCAGAGTAACCTGACTAAACATCACAAGCCTGAGAAACTGTTGTGTGTAACTGCTGCTGAAGTTCCCCCTCCTCATCGCCTCTTCCAAATTCTTGGTTTTTTTGAAGCCCAACTTTGATTAATATGTAGTAACAATGTAGAAATAGAGTTATGAACAGCTGGCAGCAAGGTAGGTGTATGGACAAATTCTTAACGACTACCAGATGTGGGCTAAAGGAAGAGGAAGAGAATGAAAAGAAAACATATCTAGGATATTTCATGAATTCACTATCTGTTTTTTATGGCTGTTTCCTTTTTTGGGGGGGGGCTTATTTGGGGGGATTGGGTTTCTTTGGTGGTTGTTTAAGAGAATGAACTCAGATTATCCATTTATAAGGAAGAAATCGATTTTGATAATTAATGGTGCTTACCTGTCATTCTGAAAAGCAAATTTAGTGCATTTCCTGGGAAGGCTGGGGGTTAGAATTACGCTTTGCGTAAGGGTCTTTCTGTCTCTTGCTTTTTTGAGCTTAGTATTTTTTAATAGAAATTGTTCCTCACATCCCAGGTAACTGAAATAGTATTTATTAGTAAGACCGAAATTCTTGATTTGTAGCTCTTAAGCTTGTGCACAAGCAAATGCTATTTCTGTGTCATCTCTTGATGTGTCGGAATTGCAGCACTGTTTTTTGCAGTATTGTACGCTTAGTTACTTTTCTTTGCTCCTTGGATGGAATTGTGAATAATCCATGTTTCCTTATCTTTGCTGCTGTTTTTGTTTGTTTGTAGGCGTTGTTTTTCTAGAACTTTTTTAGTGGCTGGGTATCTGTAGCTGGCATAACAAATGCTTGAAAAATAAAGAAGAGAGAATCCTTTTTAAAAAGATGATGCAAAGTGATAAACTTTAATTTCTTCAGGTAAACGAAAGAGGACAAGTTATCCAGTATGACAGATTTTATATTCATGAAATACAAGATTTGATAGATATCAGAAATGACTATGTCAACTGGGTCCAGCAGCAGGTATTTGGAATGGTAAGGCTTATTTTGCTTTAATTTTATCTTCCTTTTCCACCTGGTTTTGGCTTTTTATGGAAGCCTGTAGATTCTCTAAATATGGACGATTTGTTTTCATACAAGTACGGTGACAGACCCTGATAATGAATGACTCAACTTACGTCAGGTACTAGTTAAGGAAGTGTTAAATTGATACCCTGCAAGAAACACATCTTTCTTAGGGCTGACAACGTTGAACATTTTAATGCATTAGCTAAAAGGTGACTCAAAAAGCTGTCTAGTAAGGTTTGCCGTATCAAAAAAGTTAGGGAAGTGATAACTCTTGGTAGGTCAGCATCTCAAGTAACCTGAGGTACTGTGTGAGCTACGTTTGGTCAGAATAATCAAGACTTAAAGAAAGCTGAAAGTGTTCTGTAAAACTAAGTCAGGAAACAGAGTAGGGAGTTACAGGTAACAGACGACGAATATAATTTTCTGTTTATTGCTGTGTAGTGATAAGAAGTGAAATAATTATTTCTTGGGTCTGTAAATAGAAGAGTGGGAGTAAATGGGCAGAAACAATCACTTGGATAAGATTTTGTCAAACAGTTCTTTGACTTCAGTTTTGAAAGAATGGAGAATGTTAATCAACTTGTTCCATCTACATGAATGTATTTCTTCTGCTGTGGTATGTAGAAGGTCCTGGAAAGGGGGGGCCTACTTTTGCTTTGTATTGGATGAATACAAAGCAAGTGATAGCTTGTCTACTAAAGAATATAAAACTGCAAAGTAAAATAGCAACAGCAGGAAAATTGTGGAGTGTAAGGAAATAAGTTGATATTGTAGCCATCGCAGAACTTTGTGTCAGCCAGGCTTTTCAGAAAAATAACTCGTGCTTGATGTAGGCTAGTGTTGGTTTCTGACAGAGGTAATATATTAAATGAGATACAGAAGGTGTAGGTAAATATTGCAAGGTCTTGGAAGTAGAGGCAGATTGTATATTTGGAATAAGAGGAGAGTATGGTGGTGAAGGGTACAGAGACTTAGAAAGATGGTGACTTTCACAGCTATCTAAATAGATCTAAAGAAACTGGAATTGTATTTGTCATGATCAGAGAAAAGAATTCTGAGAAGCAGGAAAATGAGAGCTGGAAAATGGATTTATTTTCAAGTTTAAAGCTGCATTTGTCAGTCAAATCACAAGATTTGAGCAGTATCTTTACAATAAGAAGCCCTACTTACCTATTGAACCACTAGTAATGAATCAGAATTTCTTTTGCCACTGTCATTTTTTTATTGTTGTATCTTGAGACAAAGCTGTTTGCTCAGTTCCTTGAGTGAAGTGTGGAAAGAAAAGTAACAGACAAAAATGTAAGACTTCTTCAAGAACTTAAGAGGAAAAAAAAAAATGCTGTGCTTTCAACAAAAGAGAAATTGGGCAATGTTGAAGTTACTGAATAGCATCCTTAAAGGAGTTGAGGGAAAGAGTGTTTTAGGAATAAATACAGCGACAGGAGTAAGCATTGCATAAATCTTCCTGTGAGAAATGGACTGCTAAAAGTGCTTCCTTTAGGAATTAGGGATACGAGGGGAGCACGTTTTACAGAGATGATATTTTGGCCATCACTTTGTCTGTGCTGTAGCTGTCTACATGCTGCACTTCAGAGACTTGCGTATAATCACATTTCACATTTATTTATTTATCCACCAGGTGCATGACTTGGTTCCTTAGCAGAGTTACCTAACCAGTTCTGAATGTCTCTAACAGTGCTAGCAATGTCTATTGGCCTGTTTCAAATTGCAGAAGTCAGTTGATTTTCTTACATGCAGTATTGTAGTTCTAAATAATTCTTGAAATTTAATGACCAATTTTTTTGTTATCTTTAAATTTTTACTTATTTAAAATGTTTTGAATTTAATGTGGCATGCTGTAATCACTTCAGAATGAAAATATATGTGAAAGCAAATGTCATTGATTAATGTGTGGGAATAATCATTTAAAAGGTTCTAATGCTCCCTTTTAAAAACACGTACAGGGTGTTGAAAGGCATAGTTGTATTTGGTAGATTAATTAAAATGTTTACAATGCTTATCAGTTTTTCAGTAAACATTCTTTTTGGGGGGAAGCTATAGCTAAATAATTCTACATCAGAGATGAATAATGAATGCAGACACTAATGCTGCTTTTTCATCTTAATTATTGCTGCCTTTGTGCAAATGCTGTCATAGGATGTCAACCATGGATTAACTGAGGTAAGATGGGTTGCAATCTGGTTTCTTTTTGGAATGTAAGGAAATCAGAAACAGGAGTGCCAAGGATTGTAGGATGTGTTCCATTAGGAGTAAAGCTTTAACTTGTTAGGATTGTGAACTGAAAAGGTTTTTATGGGGCAGAAGTAAGTAATTCTTTCTGTTGCAAATTCAGAGCAGAGTTTGAAAACAAAGAGTTGTTTGGTGATATCTACTGGCTGTAACAAAAGGAGTGAACTTAAAAGGAGTGGAATTAAAACGTGTAAAGTGGGGGTGGGTCTTTTCTTGGCTGAAATACTGAACTATTGGACATCTACTTAACTTTTTCTGAGATACTTCAGGTCCTCCGTTGACAACGAGTAAAGGTTTATTTCTCTTTTCAGTAAAAGAGATGTATTAAATGAATATAAATGTAATTGCTTTTTTAACTGCTGTTGTGGGTTTTCTTCAGTAAACAGAATGATGACATGGTTCTTCTCATTCTAGTTAACAGACATGCCTGTTACCATTTGCACGTACCCATTTGTTTTTGATGCCCAGGCAAAGACAACTCTTCTGCAAACAGATGCAGTCATGCAGATGCAGGTATGAGTCAGTTTTTAAAGATGTAATTTGTTTTGGGTTTAGTTGGAGGCTTTGGAGGGTTGGTGTCCCTTTTTTCTTCTTTGTTTGCATTTGTTCCCCACTCTGCCAACTCGATCCTCTTCACGAAAGTAAGGGATCTGTTGTTTTCCTCTAAGTATGTATATGACTGAGGCTGGTAGGAATCTCACTGACATAAAATTAATAATTATATAAACATCCATTGAACTTCTTCCCCTTTCATTAACTGGATGTATTCTTTCACATGTTAACCCATAGTAATAAGGTACAAACAAAACGGAGCAAAAATTAAAATAACTTTTTAAAAGCTCTTTCATGCCAGATTTATATTAAACATCTTAGGCTTCATTTGCCTGTTAAATGAAATGCATTTTTTGTTTTACTGGAAGGAGGGAGGTGCTATATATTTTTTCCTATTTGCTTCCTTTTCTTGTCCAAAGTATTTTACCTGGAATGTCAGAAGGTGTATTCTGTGTCATTTCTAAGTGTATTAGTGTTGATGAGACTAATAAGTCAAGGGAAAATATTGTCTGAGGTTAAAGAAATAGGAAGAAAGCCCTCATAATAGGTAATCACACTGATGTCTTCTGAACTCTTTCAGATGAGAGTGATGGAAGTTTAGTGTTTATAGGAATCTTATGCTACCTACTGACAGTTACATTGTACTTTTTTTTTTTTTTTTTTCTCCCTCCCAGATGGCTGTTGATCAAGCTCACAGGCAGAATTTGTCTTCTCTTTTTCTGCCAGTATTTGAATCTGTTAACCCATGCCTGATATTAATGGTGAGGAGAGACAATATTGTAGGAGATGCTGTGGAAGTCCTAAGGAAAACGAAGAGTGTAGACTACAAGAAGCCATTGAAGGTACTGCCAGTACATACTGACCTGAGTGTCTTTCACTGACGTGCTAGTAATTAAGAATATATTTTGGACAAACATTGTTTCATGTTCCATTTTTAATTCTGTGCTCATTGAAATGTGTTTCAGGTTATTTTTGTAGGGGAAGAAGCTGTTGATGTTGGAGGTGTTCGCAAAGAATTTTTTCTGCTCATAATGAGGGAGTTGCTAGATCCCAAATACGGAATGTTCAGGTATTATGAAGAGTCCAGGCTGATCTGGTTCTCTGATAAGGTAGGGTGCGATCAACAGTCATTAATTTTCTTTCAGTTTAAGTATTTTGTTAATTATGTATGGACATAGGAATTTGTGGTAGTTTTATTTTGAGAGGAGAAGCTGAAGGAAGAAATCTTGAAAAAGTGTAATTTTTGCCATTGCTAGATCAAAGTGTTCCTTTTTTTTTTTTTTTTTTTTTTCTTTTTTCCAACCTGATTCCTTGCTTTACTCCTCACCATTTGTCTGTGGTTGAGGTGACTTTGGTAGGAAGATGTGCCAGCTGACTCCAAAAGCAGAATCAGAATGGTAGAGAAAATTGATGCGGCATGTCAAACCTTCCTTTTCTGTGTTCATTCACATTTATGGGCCTGCTTTTTGGTAGTCACCTGTTTGTACTTGCTAGGAAGTTTTAATCGTTGACTTTTTAGTCCTCTTTCAGAGGAACATGCTAACTAACTCCAGTTAGCACTCGCTTATGTCACTTATATCTGGATATTAATGTTTTCACAGTTGCGTTCCAAGCCTTAACTGTTTAGTCCAAGGAAGTTAACAGTAAGCTCCTCACCTCTCCTTCCCCGTTAATTTACATTAAAATGTATTTAAGGACTGAGTACTGTCATAGTAAGTCACCAACAAAAATGGAATCTTTAGATGGTAGCTTCAGCAGCATGCATCACTTAGAGTACAAAACATGTTGCATTTCAGTTGTTTTTTTTTTAATATCCATACCTCTTTTCTGGACTATAAATGATTAAAATAACTTGTTTTAAAATATTTTGTCTGTTTTCTGTTCTTAGACCTTTGAAGACAGTGACTTGTTTCATTTGATTGGTGTTGTCTGTGGGCTAGCAATATATAATTTTACTATTGTAGACCTTCACTTCCCTTTGGCTTTGTATAAAAAGCTGTTGAATAAGAAGCCATCCCTGGACGATTTAAAAGAGTTGATGCCGGATGTTGGCAGGTAAGCAAGAAAAAAATGAGTGAGATTAGGAATTAGTTTTGAGTTCAACACTTTCCTTTGAAGGTTTAAAGAAAGTGCATGCTATTCACACAGGATAAACATCTTAGAGTAACTTGTAGCTATCAAGCCATTTCAGATGTGTGCTATTGTTAAGCAGCTGCTTCTCTAAGTGTTTGGTTTTCATATTCATCTCTCCTGTGCTGTATTGTCCTACAAGAATCTTTGGAAGTTGAAAGTTTTGAGATTCTGCTATTAATTTTATAAAATAAGTGTGAACATAATTTTAGTTCTGTGTATTTTGCCTAGTCTGAGGAGGAGACATTTTCACTTATTTCAGAGGCAAGTGCATGCTAAATAACTGCACTTGAACAGGTAGGGTTTTCAGGTGGTGTGGTGGAGTTGGTGTTGGATTGCTTCAGTGTTGTGAATGCAAAAGGTTTTCATAGGTCTAGGAGGAATTGAACGTAATAATGGGAAACACCATCAGTGATTAATTAGGACTTAGCACCTCTGTCTTGGAATTCCTTCCCTGCACTGAAGCTAGACATTGGGGTATGAGTCTTCTCTTAACTCCTGAGAGAATAAAAAGAGACAACAGTACAAGTAATAGGAAAACCAAACCATTGTTTATTTAAAGCTTTGCATGCTATGCTTTTGAAAGCAATGTGATTTGCTTGAATTTCCTAGCGCTGCCCTGCAAGTCAGCATATAATAGTAAAACTTTTTTGTTCTCCTCTCACTGGTACAAGTACTTGTAATTTGTTTTTCAGGGGAATGCAGCAATTACTGGACTATCCAGAGGATGACATAGAAGAGGCATTTTGTCTTAATTTTACTGTAAGTTTCTCATTATATTGGAAGCTTTGATTTGTTCTACTGGTAAAGCTTGTACTGTGTATTACAGCTTCATCTGATGGATTGTTTGAGCAGAAGCATTGGCTGCTGATGGTCATGAATTGTAGCATTCTGTGCTTAACATTCTAAGATCTGTCTGCCATTCACTATACTGTTAGCGAAGGGGTGGGAAGAAGTCCTCTACACAGAAAATAAAATTAATACTGTTTTTGTTTTAAATAGATCACTGTGGAAAATTTTGGTACAACAGAAATTAAAGAACTTGTTCCTAATGGTGCTGACATTCCTGTAGTCAAACAAAATAGGTGAGTGTTATGGATCACAGTGTAGTTCGATGTTGCTGTCTGTTTTGGGAGCATAACTGGGCTGCTATAGAGATCCTTTGCCAAGTTGCTATGCTAGTGATGGGAGGCAAAGCTACTGCTGTTTTTCCAAGCTGTTTTAATGTGTATTATAAACAACAGTAAATAACTGTTGTAGTTAGGGGCTTGACATCTAAGGTGGCTCAGTAAGCAATATCTTTTTCACTTTGGCCTCAGAAGTATTTTGAAATTCTTTAGTGCCCATATGAATACACTGTCTTCACTTCAGAAGGCCAGAAATGGTTCTGCAGAAAGTTACTGAGTCACAGTGAAAACATCAACTTAGATGCTGTTACGTGACGACTCTTGGTATGTGAAATACCATTTCAGGGAAGTATTCGCTTTGTAGAACAGATACATTAGTCTGTTATTTTTAGTGTCGTTGTCTAATGAGTATGTGGGGTGTGGTTTTATCCTTCTTTCCTGGATTCTGTTAATTCTGTTTTATAAAAGCCGCTTCTCCCACCCTGTGTTCCCCCTCTGCTCTTGGAGGATAGATAGAATATTTCTGGTATTCTGTGGTACTAATATTTCTGCGGAATATTATCACTTTCCTGTCCCTTGTTGGTCATTCTCTTCATGTGCTTTCATCAGTGTTTTAATCTTTGTGTCTTCTATGAGCTTTCACTTCTCCTTGAGTGAAGGGAGAATCAAATGGAAAGGGCATACTGTGTGAGAACAAAACATACCTAGGCTGTATGTCATAGGAAGGGAGAAAAAGAACCTTCGGGTATGTTTTGGACAGTGTTTTCTGAGTAGCTAAGTCCCTTGTAGATGGAAAAAGCAATGAGAGAAGATTGAAGGTATCACAAACTCTGTGCAGTGAGTGCTTTCATCCTCCTGACTCCTCATTACTGGGAGAGAAAAACATTAGTTCAGATCTCCAAGCGTAGTGGCAAGACTGAGCAGCTTCAACTGAAGGGAAAAGCAAACAAGCACAGTAAGCATCTATGATGCTTGCAGTCACTTCTTACACTGGTCAGCTTTTCTCTCTTTAATCTTTGGCTGATAATTGAGGATTGATGGTGCTTCATCTTAAGCATGATATTTTCTAAGTTCTGCAGACGTGTTTTTTTTCTGTCACAAAGTGACAGTGAGATTAGAGTTGAAATATGAGAAAAGGTGTCCATGGAATGTAATGCTATGGTTGTCTGAAGAAATCTTTTTTCTCAGGGCCCAAATATTCTATGACTTTTTAAATTCAGTTTGAAAAATGCTATTGCAGAGTATAATTATGTTAATCAGTTTACTACTGTCAGTTTTCTGTCCACTGTTAATATTCCACAGTGTGCCTAAATTAGGGAAGATATGTTCTACAACTTAATGGTGTATCTTCAAAATGCTTCGATCTTTCTTTAAAGGATTAGTGATGTTATTCAAATAAGTGGAGTCGCTGTGCCAATGCAGGAGCTAACAGCATTAACTAGGATCCTTTAATAAATAAATGAAATTATAATCAATATTGTATCAGGAGATTTTAACTACTAGCTTCTGTTGAAGATGGTGTTTGCAGTAAGAGGAGAGAACTCCTTGTACTGAAGCATGGATAAGACAGTGTATTTCTCAGCATCCTAACTTCTTTTTCCTGATTTTTTTTTTTTTTTTTTTTTTTTTTTTTTGTGTGTGTGTGTAGGACTCAAATGTCTGCTTGAAATTTATTTTCATCTTCAGTGCACATATGGTAACGCTTTATAATAAAAACAGAGCAAAGCCAAAATACACAAATTTTGGCACTAAGTTGGCTTCAGAACACTATGTACAACTCCAAGCCTTTGAGTGTGTTGCCATTCAGTCCAGTTCACTGTGAGGCATGCAGTGATGTCTGAAATCAGTAATGAAAACATTCTTGGTTTTGTCTTGTACATTACAGGCTCCATGTTGGACAAAAATGTACATTTATGTGCTGTTTTCATTCAGGTCATCTTCTCTGTGGCTCTAATGTGGAGCACAGAACATAGTAGCCTAAGATCCTTTTTGCTCATCTTCCCATGAAGTTTTCTGTACTGAAATGGCTATTCTATGAAAATAGAAGAGTGACACATACTTTTGTTTTCCTCTCCTCTCAACGTAATTATTTTTTCTTTGTGCAGGCAAGATTTTGTAGATGCATATGTGGATTACATCTTCAATAAATCAGTAGCTTCCTTATTCAGTGCATTCCATGAAGGCTTCCACAAAGTATGTGGAGGTAAAGTTCTTCAGCTCTTCCAGCCCAGCGAGTTGCAATCAATGGTAATTGGGAACACAAATTATGATTGGAAAGAACTGGAGAAGGTAAAAACAAACAAACAACATAGTTGGCTCTTTGTTTCATATATATTTTTTTAAATTTCAAGGTGCAAGAGTAATCTCAAAGTATCATTTTAAGCTCTGTTTTCTCTGTTAGCATGTGGTATGTCAGGGCCAGCCTTTACTGGATAGACTGCATAACTGAGAATCTTCTCATTTTAAGTTGTCAGTGAACAAAGGCATTAAGATACTGTTCATTTTCCTTTTTAAAGTTTTCTCATCTAATTTCAGAAGGAAATCAGAGTTGGGGGGGATCAAAGAGGAAGAAAAATTGCACAGAACCTAAAGGCAGTCGTAAATTTAAGTTAGAAAGGGAAAAGTGAACAAAATGCATACTGCTGATATAAGTAGATACTCCTGCTTACTGAAACTCACTGAGAGCTATTGTTACAACTTCTCTGGTATTGAAACTGCTTTGAGATAGATCCGTTTGTCCATATATTTGAAGTCTGAAGAGCTGCAGAAATTTGATCCAAGGAAATGGCAGTGTGTCACTTTCAGTGAAGTATCCCTTGTCACAATTCTTTATGCTTTATTGTGGCATTATCGTACTGAGAAATAACTTAATTTCTTGCTCATTTTAGAATACGGAATACAAAGGAGAATACTGGGCAGACCATCCTACAATTAAAATATTCTGGGAGGTTTTTCATCAGTTGCCTTTGGAGAAGAAAAAACAGTTTTTGTGTAAGTATTCAACAGTACTTTGCAAAACCTTCTAACTGAACAGGATCACTGATTTCAGGTTCTGGCAATAAGAACAGTAACAGTGTGATTAACTCCATATGGAGGGGAAAAATAATCAGAGTAGAAGCAATTGGTTATAAGCTTGTCTATGACTTTTCTGGAGCTGTCCTGAAAAGTTTTGGGTAATGGAGGTTTATAAGATGACATAGGCCAAAGCAGCATTTAAAATAAAATAATTGCCCAACAGTGTGAGCTACTGATGGCATCTGTCTGCTGATCACAATTTTTTCCCTGTGATTTGACACCAGGTTCACATTCTCTAGTTTTTTTCATTGTAAATAGGTGGAATAGCGAAGTTATAACTGATTGTCAGTACCTAAAGATACTGATGTGAGGGAAAGTACACAGGTTAAGACAAGGGAAACTTCTTGTGAATGAGCTGATGTTGAGAATCACTTTCATACTGAACGAACTAATCCAGGGTGCTCAGAAGTACACTAAAGGTACAGCTAATGAATTTTAAGTTACCAATTCTGATCTTGACTATCAAGGGCACTGGTTTCGTATGTGAAAATGAAGTTTTCCTTTGTGTACAACATGTTAGGTTATGGTGGAGGCTTCACTTTGCAGGAAGGAGATCAGGCTAAGACATCTCTTGTTTTCAAGTTTATCTGAACGATTTCAGCATGAAAAGCTAAGTACAGCTGGAATAATTGAGAAATGTAAATAAGGACTAGAACAGCCTATGTGGAATACAGAGTGTTTTATCTTAAACCACTTTCAGGACTTTGTTTTTGTTTTTGTTTTTCTTGGCAGTGTTTCTGACAGGCAGTGATCGTATTCCAATCCTTGGAATGAAGTGTCTTAAACTAGTCATCCAGCCAACAGGAGGTGGAGAAGGTTATCTTCCGGTAGCTCACACTTGCTTTAATCTTCTTGATCTTCCAAAATACACAGATAAAGAAACGCTAAAATCTAAGCTGATCCAGGCTATAGATCACTATGAAGGTTTCAGTTTAGTATAACTTCAGAAATGAGAGAGATCTGTGTAAAGTGGGATCATTAAACTAACTTCTTGTGTCTTTTTTGTGGTGGTAAATTCAGTGGATTAAATGATGGAGATGATAATATAATTGATTATTTGCAAAATGTTAAGTGGTATGGTTATTCACTGGAGCCAAAAAAAAAAAAGGGGGGGACAAAAATGAGGAACTGTCTTAATAACTCTTGTACAAAACCATGTTGATTTTCTCATCTTGCAATAAAATGAGAGTATTGTGAGTGGGAGTCAAGTTTCACTAACATGAATTAACACTTCATCTTATGCAGACAATTTGGCGTGTGAGTGCATGAGAGACTTGCTTAAGTTTTTCAAATCAGTTAGTAAGAATATTTAAGTCCCTGATAAATTCACTTGGTTACTTTTCATTTTGTAAATAATAAATTTTTGTGATAAAATAATTATGTTCCAATAGCAGTATGGTTTCTATTGCTTGTAATTAAATATGAGCTTATTTTATGGCTTTTAACAAAAAGAGTGACTACTCTGATTTCTGAAGATATATTTTTCTGGTTTGTTTTAAGAACCTTAATAATGAAAATTATTGTTTGAAAGACATTCATCTTCACAGTGTACAATCCAACAAGTTCCATGAAGCAGTCACTTTAATGCTGATTAAAAAAAAAAAAAAGCCAACAATGAAAACGCATCAAAAACCTGCATAGAATGGCATTTTTAATACATGGATGGACGAGTTGACTTAAAACATTGCTTTATTTTTAAGGACTGATTCTGTAAGTGGACGCAATTATAAAGGAGGTTAATTTATCACTGGGAACCTCTGCAGCCATGTGTCAAGAATGCAGCTTAAAAGAAAAAGATGCTCCCGACAGTTGTTGCTGTCAAGAGGTTAAACATTTATTTTTAAATGCTGAAAGTGTAGTTTATGGTTTCTAATACAATTTTCACTTTTTTCCAGATAAATGCATTTGAAATAACTCTTTAACACCCTTTTCCCCTTTTCTTAAGATTTTATTTTTAGTATAAATACCATGAGACAACTGTGCTTAGCTGGACACTTTTGGAGTTGACTTTCCTTCTCTGGTTAAATTCCAGATTTTGTGGTGTTAATGCATATGATGTGACTTGCAGCTGTGAAACAAATATTTATTTTTTTTAGATTTTTAAATGCAGTGACAAAAAAAAATTCAAGCTATAATAAAAGTCTTGAATGAAAACCTTTGTTGACTGATGTGTATGGATGCTTGCATCATGCATCAATGATGCATTCAATGAAAAGGTAACATCTGTGCAGTAAATCAAGAGTGCCAGGTTCTCACTTTAAAAGTAGAGAAATTGATTCATTAGAATGAATAGTTGAACTTGTCATTAGGTGTAGATATACAAAGCAGTCAGTGCAGGTAAGAGCATTCTTTCCATAACTGTTCTTAAAGCATTCTCATGCAATGTAATCTCTAATAATTTCTTTACGTGCAGCCTTTATATCTCATCTTTTCCAACATGTGTTACTTGGCTGGCAAGTTCTCCCTGTTGTGAGATATGAGAATCTGACCAATGCTGCAGCAGCTTAAGCTTATTTTGCGTGGGAGAAAGGAGGAAAAAAAAAAAGTACATTATGCCTTCATTTTACCAGGTAATATTAAAACTTCTGAGATTATAGAGCACCAAACTTGTGAAGGCAAGTACTTGGAAATTAGGAAGTTTGACAAACATCAAGCTGTCTCATTTTCCCCTATTTATCATTACATGAGTAAATGCTGTTTATATCCCTGATGTCCATGGGACCCTTCCTTCACTCAGTGTACCCAGTTGACATGTGCATTATTTTTCTGTTCAGTTGTGCAGATCTGATTCTAATGCATATCATGTAAATCCAGCACTATTTGCTTTTTAGTTCCCTAAAGGTCATTCTGCCGTATTTGAATTCTTTATTTTAGTAATCTGAGAGATAAGCAACAGCCTTATTCTGTAGATGAGATAGTTGGAGACAGAATTCAATCCAATTATTGAGCGTTCATTTATTAACATTATTGACCACTTGCTCAACTGAGGATGTGCTAGGAAATTTTAGATGTCCTGCATCTTGGCATTGTAGTTAACGTTTACTAAAATCACTATGACAAGTAGTACATATTTCTGCAGTATCAGAAAGGCAGATGTGCTCTCTTAGAACTTCAGTAGAATTGATAAGCCTCGTGGGATTGAATGATTGTCTAAATTTCACATGGAAGGAAGCCCACTGACAGAGCAGGATGAGAATCATGTTCCTTGAGACTGCACTAACCTGAAACATTTTTGCACTTTCAGCCTTGATTGTGTCCACCTCTGCAAGAAATGGAGTTGGATCCTACAGAACAGGATAATAGCTGCTAAACACTCCTGACTATGGTGCAGGTGTTAGCTCATTCAGTGCAGTGAAACAGGTGCTCTGTTACCAAACATTACTCAAGGTAAAAGACTTTTATGCAGTACTAGAACAGTGACTAGTCATTATGTTACTTCTGTCACATAGGTGTTGGTCCTTACCTTGTCCTTAGGTCTGCTAATGGTCATAACAGCTGTGTGGAGGACTTAAGCCAAAGCTTAATGCTTACTTGTTTCCTCTGGTTAACAAAAGGAGGTGGCTGAAGTGTTTTCTCTCCTTCTTGGATCAAGTGGCATTTTCCATACAGTATTGAATGCCGTGCCTCATGTGAGGAAGAAAAAAAAAATCAACTTCCTGCTTAGGTAAAATTGCCACAGTGTTATGGAAGAAAGACGCTTTCCTCCTTCTCACATTTCTCATTAATCAGGGAAAACCTGTAGGCTTTCAGAAGGATTGTGTGAACAACTGGGGGAAAGTAGTGTTTTGGGCTCCAGTGGGAATGTTTTACAATAATTAAAAATCTCTAAAGCAGTTTTGATAACAGGATTAGTATTCTGATGAGCATTCGTAATTAGTTGGAGAATGGTTTGCTGTATCCATCTCCATTATGTTTACTGAAAGAAGGTTTGTTTTTGTCATAGCAGTGGATTTACTGCACCTGTCACAGGCACAGAACTGCAGATTGCAGCTGTGTGGCAGAACTACATGGACTTTTATTTGCCTGTATCGCAGAAACTTGTGCATTGTTTTTTCCAGGGGAAAATCAAAGGGCTGTTGCTTTGAGACAGTGCAACTATTAAAACTGAGCTCCAGTTAAGCACTTCGTAGTAGTTGCTATTGCTAACATTGTTACTAATGTAGAACACCAAGGTGCAGAATTCCACTAAAGGGTTTTTTATGCTCCTATGAAGGATTCCAGTTCATTGCACTGCTCTGCATTGCAGTAAACTTTGTTTATCCAGGAGTGAATGCAGTGTGGTACCATCAGATACAAACAGCTGTAAAACAAAACTCATTATTTAAAGGCGTATCTTCTTCTGCAGTTAGGATGAATACAGAGTGAAAGCTTTCCTGTAATAACACAGTTTTTACCATGCTGAAGTAGTATATGGTGGGCACCACATGGATGGCTCTGGCTTTCTCCTTGTGCAACCACTATGTACTGCAGAGCTGTCATTGCTCGTTTGTTGGTGGAAGAACAAAATATTTGTGTCTCCTAACAAGAGATGGTCTCTACTGCTTACCAGTGGGTGTTTCTCAGTTGGTGGCTCAGTCTGGAGTGGGGTGAACTAATCATGAGGCTGCTATCTTGTCTTTCAATGTGCTGTTCAGTGTAGTGTTAGTCAGGTTTGAAGAAATAAGCTTTAAGAACCTTCCCTAGACCTCTACTGGTCTGAAACCAGATTGACTGGGTAACAGTGTTCTATACACTGGAGCCTCCAAGAAATCCACCTGTGTTTTGCTGAACTACATGCACTCTTATGGATTGATAAAGTAACACAGCAGCCATAATTGCTGTATATGGCCTGTCTTTTGGCTTTGAGATACTGTATGGGTCTTCTGCAGAATAGTGTGTTGTTGATGTCAGGAATGTAAGCTGGGGTTAAAAGCTTTTTAATTTTTTTTTTGTTATTTTTTTTCACCAGTTTCAGGAGTATTAAGAAAGAAAATGAAGGCTCTGTACCTTGTTAGGGATGTGAACCATAGGGCTGATAACGTTTGGTGTAGTTGGGTGTGTGCAGTATTCGAGTACTGTTATTCTCTGCAAGACTTGTGGTGGGGCCAGCCTGTGGGCAGAGCTGCTCTCTGCGGGTACTCACAGTGTGCGTGGGTATGTGGGACTTCCAGTGAGGAGAAAATGCAGTGTGAGCCAGAAGGATTTGACTCCAAAGGCTGGAAGTGAGTTTCCTTCCCCCTTGAGCAGATAGCCCAGCCTTGTTGTTAGAGCAGAAGTGGTGGGCTGTATTAAACCCCAGCCTGCTACAGAAACAAGTAGCCAGACGGTAGGGCTGAAACTCATTTGTTTGTGCCTTAATATTCGCACAGAGGCTACCTATGTGTGCTTCCTAACCAGTGCTCGAGTGCTCTGGGAGCTGCACGCTGCGGCTCAGCGAGCCTGGGGTGCCGCCGGCAGGTACGGATGTTGCAGCGCGCAGCGAGGTGCGGGGCTTCAGCTGGCGGTAGGTACAGGGAGAGGGCGAGGGGTGCGGCCCGAGGGAGGAGCGGGAAGGGACTGCCGCTACTCGCGGGAGCCTTCGAGCACTTTGCTGGCTAGAAGCCTCCCGTTAGGCAGCCTCGTGTCCCTGGGCTGCCCTGGATGCCTCCCTTTCAGGAGCCTGTATTTAAACGCAGCATAGCTGGGCGTGTTGGGGGCGGCTCTTGGGGCCGCTTCTCCGCTCGCGGCGCTGGGCGGTCCGTCCCGCCGGGTCCCGGGGCCGCTGCGGATGCGGTAAGTGGGGAGCGGAGCGCTGTTGTGGGTGACTCGGGGGCTCTTCCTCAGCCGCCCATGAAGTGTGGCAGAGCCGCTTTCCTTCTGCCGCAGTAGCCTCCAGGTGTTAGGAGTAGTAGAGACGGGATAAAACAGCAGTGAGAGATGGCTGTGTGTCGTTTCGGAGCACTTTAGTTGCGGCTTTCAGGAATATCTGTGGCTTAAGGGCAGTTTGTTGCTACTCCGTGCTGTGCGGCGCTGGGGCTGTGCTGAGGCTGCAGGGTTGAGGAGTGAAGGAACTGATGGTGCTTGTCACAGAGTGGCGGTTTGTGTCTGCTAAGAAATTCAGTCCTTGAAAGATGCGTGGTTGTGTACGTGCACCCACCAGCGCCGAGGCCGAGAAAGCCTTGCTTAGGTGTGCCCTGCGGTGTTGGTTCTGTCAGTACGGGTCGGTGTCATACAGTGGGATATACTGGGGAGCTGCTACTGGGTTACCCTGGGCTGAAAGCTGTCTCCATGTGAAGTGGTCCAGGTGCTTTAGGGAGAGCCCAAAGGATGACCTCTGTTTGGGAACCCCCCCTGTCCCACCCGAATTACTCCATTCCTCTTGCAGGGCACTGAGCTCCCACAGTGTCGTGTGGCAGTAAGTTGCACAGTTACAGTATGTGTGATGGTTTGCTTCATTTTATCTGCCTTCCTGTGTGTTCACTTGCTGCTCCTTGTGCCTTGCATCCTGACAGTAAGCTCTGTGTGTGCCATCATACAGTACTTTTCCTAGGAAGTCCTAGCAGCCCAAGTGTCATCTCAAAAATGCTAATCGCAGGGTGGCTATTTTAAAGGTACTATTTTGACTCTCACGTCATTGTAGCTAGTTCAGAACTCCTTACTATGTAGCAACAACCAGGACTGCTCAGTGAATACATCTAAATGCAGCATAGTGTTTAAAAGAAGAGAAGTAGTTTTCTGAAGGACAAAACTACATTGTTGTTCCAGATGTTGCTGTACCAGTGTAGCTTTGCTGGGGCTTCGCTCCCATAGGGGGTAGACAGAAAAGGCAATTTATCGTATAGTACCCAGGATCTCACTTAAAACTTCATAGGGCATCTTTTGTTAAGTTCTTAGGAGCTAACTAGAAATTAACAGAAACCAAAAATCAAATGATGATTTTAATAGACTTTAGAACAGAGTGTACAAGTATAAAACACTGGTTTTGTATTTCAAAAGTTGCAGGAAGATAGCCGGTCATTTTAAACAGTCTTCTACAAAACATATGCCAGTAGATTACATAAAAGACACTATATACAATATAAAAGAGCAGAAAACAATCCTCACTGTAAAAATAATTTAAAACAAAGTATTTCAATTTAAAATATCTCCTATAGCACAAACTAATACATTGTAACATGCAAGTGAAAACTAAACAT